TTGCCGTCGCCGTCGTGGTTGCTTAAGGTCCCTATTGATTGGTCCCAGTCGTACTAGTGTCGTATGGTAGGGCAGGAAAAGTTCTCTACGTTGAGATACCGGCCGAGAAGCATGGGGCGACTTTAACTCTCTTTCTTAAATCAATTATTTAACTGGGTTGAGTACGTCGATGGCAGTTTCCCTTGCTTTTTCTAATCTCTTCCGTTGTATTATTCTCACCCTTTTTCATATTCGTCCAGCCGAAAATAGTTGTCCTTTTGAGGATAGTCTAGCATCTCCTTAGAGGAGTTACTCCTGGGTATCTTTCATAAGTCAGCCCTGGTAAATGCTTCCGCTGTTTTTCATTTTTTCACAACGTGCGTGTGAGGTCCTGCTTCGAAACTGGCCAAGGACTGGCGTAACATATTTCACCTGCTGCAATTTTCTTTAACAGTGCGCCATCAATTCAAGAATTCAGTACACTGAATTTTCCACGATCATAAGAAAACAGAAAGAGGTGAGTACCTTTCATCCGATATCAAACACTTGTACGAGATTGTACGATAACCGTTGAACCCTTTCGCGTACCCTTTAATTTCCAAGATCTGATTGTCAATTCTCCCCTCTAGCTGCCACAAATTTCCTGGTAAATTAGGGACGAGAATTTGGTGTTAGATCAAGATTACTTTTTGCTGATAAATATGAGTGCTCATACGTATTTGTTTGCCGGATAATGTATTAATAATATGGGAACAGGCTATCTATCATTATTAAAAACTGGATCATTGGATAATGCAATTCAAGACTTTTTATTGGCTCAGCCATTATGGTATATGAGACAATATACCATAATCTAATTTCTTTACATTGTTAAATCCGGTTTCTTCTCACAAAATAAAGTGGAGAAGGTTTGTCTAATATATTGGGGGCGTTTTTTTAATAAAACAATTATTCCACTCTCGCTTGTTGGATATGAGATGATTATAGCCGACTCGGCGCTACGCGCCTCGTTGGCTATCTATCATCTCATATCCAACAATTGAGAGTGGAATAATTGTTAAATCACCTCCAGGAGTAAAGGAGTTAAAAACATCGGCGACCTTGTCCACATAGCACCCTCTCAAAGTTCTTGACCATGGCAGCATGCAGGCACTTTTACACCAGTACACAAATGTAACTGACTCAGTCTAGCTTGCCAGTAAATTCCTTGCATCCGATCCAAAATCGGAACGTTTAGGGTCGAACCTTTGAACTCGAAAACTCTTTTTGTAATAATATCACGTCGTTACAGATCGTCAAACAACTGATGGAGAGGAAACAGACTGAAATCCGTAAAGTGTACCCCGGGCTCAAGTGTTTTCAGGAAGGAGTGAGACAAATCCCTGTAGAGAGTATACCAGGAATCCGTAAGTAAACTTAGAGCATTCTCAAGGGGGGAGGGGGGGGTTTAAGGAGGATCACATGATATTCAGGGTGAACGGAGGGGGGTTGGTCGTGGGGGGACTAGAGAAAACTGGCTGCCAATTAATTAGAAATAAGGCGGGGAGGGTTTATAAGGATATCACAGGACCTTGTGGGGGGTACAAGTGAATTGTTCATGTGACACGAGTAAAATCCTCCGACCATCCCTCCCCCCCCCTTCCGGCGATAAATTATAACCGGTCCTTGAGGTTAATGAACTTGGAAAAACCGTCATAAAAGCTAAAAGCTAAATAGCTAGGTCAGCCCTCTGTCGGAGGGTATTATTTGCTTGTTATACCTCCCAATCTTGCCCCCACACCCTTTGATACCCATCGGACAATGGTCAGGGAGAAACTTAGGATCCTGGGAATTCCAATTTAGTGTATTTAAAAAGCAAAAATATCCACTTCTGTTTGAATTTCGAGCTTGACTTTTGTCTTAAATGAATGGTCCTTCATTTGTTCTCGATGCACGCTAAAAAGAATGCAGCTGGTATTCGTTTTTACAGTGAGAGTGTCTCTCTCACTGTTTAGAAGTGGATTTGTGGACAGTTGAGGACAGCGCTTAAACGTAGGGCACGTGCAGAAATTGAAACGCTGACAGGTGGAAACAGGGGAAAGGAAAACCGAAGTTTATTTATGACGGTTATTTTGTTGATTTACCGTTTTGTTTTGAGCTTTAACAAGAAAGTAATAGCCTGAGTTTTTTTTCGATCCCTTTGAGGTAATTTTGTTCGGACAGCCTGAAATCACAATGTAGGGCCGCCATAAACTTGTTACTTGCACAGGCGTCTGACTAATATGTTGGACGATTAGGAAGAAATTTAAAATTCTGCGTAGGCGAGGACGACAATTGACAATACTAACTAGCCAGTAATCATTTGCCCATCACTCTCTTACATAAATTTCTCCTCTAACTTACGCAGGTGAAACGGGATGGAAGCCATCTTTGACTAAGAGGTAGGTTTAATACCATATTGAGGCTCTCAACGTAAATTGTGCTTTAGGAAATCGTCCGTATGTGTCAGCTGTTAGCGATCGTCTGGCTGGCTTTTATGTTCAACGACTTCTTTCATGCCTGTATACCTATTAAAACCATTTTCTTTCTGTTGAAGTTAGAGCCCTTTTCGATTAAATGGTATATAACCAAAAACCGAAGTAATAACAATGGCTATACAGAAGAAAGGAAAATATCTTGAAGGGCCAATGACAACTCACAATAAAATCAACCAAACTGCCTAAAGCGCGGAAAAAGGCGGGCTACCAAGGCGTGATTGGTTTTAGCTTTGCTTACGATTTGTTGAGAGAGTGGCGCGAGTTTTCTGGACCGATCACAGAGCGAAGTAAAGCAAAAACAAAGCAAGCCGGGATTATTTTCGACATTCAATATTGAAAATTGCTATTTATTCGCTTGAAGTTTTGGAATTTTTAAGTGTGTCGTGATGTGGTACATGTACTTTGTTTCGGCCAGCGAGCATCTTTAAAAACTGTTTTATATGCCCTGTGTGTTAAATGTTATCAATTAAGTTACGATTCGCTGCTTTTCGCTCTGACTCTCTCCTATTGCTTAGTAAAAGCTGTCAATCAAAACTTTGACGCTACTTTTAATTCTTTAACCCCAAAGAGTGACTGGCTTGTAAGTTCTCTTTACAGCATCACCCTTGAATCAAATGTAAAGGTCATGAGAATGGAGGAAATGACCACTAATTTCTAAAGCTTCTGATTTTAAATCAAATTCTCTTTGTAATAACCATTGGAATCTTAAAGAGAATAGTATGGAGAATCTGTATATTCACATAAGAGTACGATATAAAAGTGCAATATGCTTCCCCGAAGACAAAAAGAGATTATGTCTGATCGAAAGAATAAGAAATCCAAAACCTTGAAATGAATGAATAAATAAATATTAAGAAGAAGGAAATCAATGAGATGTATCTGAATTTTCCAGTGAGGATGACACAGCTGACGCTGACCACCTGCAGACTCAACTGAAAAACATCCTTACGCAAGTCAAGGTTAGTAGAGTTTGTTCGTTTTCTTTTGTTTTGTTTTTATTCTAGTTTTTTATTCTTTTTTTTTTTTTAACTGCGTTTAAATTTGTTTGATTTGCTTTCGAAGTATGTCGATCGTTCTGAATTGATCTTTGATGGGCTTACAAACTAGCTCCCTCTCTGTCTCGCCGCAGAAATTCGACAATTTGGTAGAATGCAAACAGTCCCTCATTTTTGGTGAGGTCTGTCGTGAGTGAAATAAATCAGTGTGAAAAAATTTTAGTGCGCCGCTCTGCACTCTGGGAGCGATTTGCATCCCCACTTTTCATGCGCCACAGGCGATCATCAATTTTTTTTCACTGATTTTTTTTTTTTTTGTTCGCGCCAGGGACTTCCCGAAAAGCAGAGACTGCTGATAGTCTAGCAATTTTAAACTCAGTTTTTATAGCAAGGCTATGTCGTTCGCTTTCCATATTTGACATATCTTTTTCGCAGAATCATGCCAGTTCGTGGCCTTTTCAAAGACCAGTGGAAATCTCTGAAGCACCAGATTATTATGATCACATAAAATACCCAATGGGTAAGTACCAAGAGTCTAGGATAATCTAACTAGGATTTATTTTTCTGTCCTTTTTCAAAGAAAAAAGTTACGTCCACACGCTTTTTTTAATCTCGTTTGGCCGTTAACCCGAATACTTCTGATACTCCTAACCAATGAAATAGCAGTTTAAAACGTCCGCACCAACACAATAAAGCAAAAAAAAGATACCACCGAAGAAAAACAAACGTATATGTGCACGATCCTCGCAGTAAAGCACTGTTTGAGCAATAGTTAGAATCAGAATTTTTTCAGGTCTGATTCTCACAATTGCTTAAATAGTACTTTACTGCGAGGATCTTGCACATGTACGTTTCATAACCGCAGTTCAGATATATGTCTTTCATGTATTCTTTATGTTTAAATAAAAACAAAACAGGCAATTAAAGTGTATTTTATTTAATGATGTCACTCGAAGAAAACGATCCCCCCTCACGTACACCTACGTCGGTTTTCTTAGTTTGGCCCTTTATTTTCATTTGTTTGTGTTTTTTTTCCTGCTTCACAGATCTTCGCACTATGACCGAGAGGTTGAAGAGTGGTTATTTCAGCTCGAAGAAGCTGTTTATCGCCGACATGATGAGAATTTTCACTAACTGCCGAACGTACAATGCTCCCGAGACTGAGTACTACAAGTGCGCCAATACGGTGGAGAGATTTTTCCTAAGTAAAGTTAAGGAACTCAGAAAGACAAGCTAAGCTGAAACTTTTCCTTCTGAAACTTTTCCTTGTGCTTTCAAAACATTATATTACAAGCAACCACGCCGAAATAATGATTTTGTTTTGAATTCTCTTTACAAAATTTACAAGAAAACTTGCCCGCAGCAAGGAGGTAGAATTGCCAAATAAATCGGGATTCGTAGATTTATTTTAGAAACGCGCCGTCTCACGAATAAAAAACGCAACATCTTTTCCAGGGTCTCTCGTCCTCTTGCTTCAGAGGACGTGAAATGATGTAAAGAGGCCTAACATGGAAATGAAAAAGAATGGAAGAATGAATTTAAAATGAAAAGAAAAACAGGAAACTAAGAGTTGAATTTCAAATTTTATTCACTATTTTAAAAATTAATTAATAACTGATACAGTCAAATGTACATAGTCATTCCCTCAGTATAAATATGTATAAATAAAAATTAATGCCTAAAATCAGTTATTACTTTTTGTGCTGGGAGTATTTCCGTTTAAAGGATGTTATTCCTGCAAATGTCACCATGACATGTTCGATTCGTCTTGTACCCAGACCTTCCACAGCCAAGCGGTTGTTCATTCCAGTAACACGGTAGAATCTGGGTAAGAGCTCACTCGCATCATAGCACCCAACCACAGGGCGCCCACGGCGCTTTTTGACATTACATTTCCATGCATTTCTCCTAGTTGACAAATCCATCCCATGTTGACGCGCGTCTGTTCAGAAATAGATCACAAATGACGTCAAAATGTGATATGAACAAACAAAAAGTGGCAGACGAGTCTCCGCCGAATGTATCACTGATTTTATAATAATAATAATAAATGAATAAATGATTTAACAATGGACATCCACTGGGTGGCTATTCTTGTCCATTGTTCTTACTGAACAGACCTGATTTTTTTACTGAACAGACCTACGTTAATATGGAATTTGTTTTAAGTGAAAAAAAAGCAAAATATTGTTATTGGTGACTTCGACTATGTGTCTCAGAAATAAGAAGCTATCAAAATACGTATTAATTATTTTTGTGTGTGCTACTCATTAGTTCCGCGGTAATTTCTGTTATGGGTCTTTCATTTTCAATCATCTAATCACACACACGTTTAAGTGAAATTTAAATTTCGCTAGAATGAGTAACTCTGGAATACTACTATCATGAGACCGCGATTACGTGACGTCGCATCACACCACTACAGAGCGCACGAGTTTGGTTCTAATCGGTACTTTGAGCCCTGGTTACCGAGCACATTGAAATATTTAGATTTTTATTTCTACAATTTTCTTATTTGCTGTCTGTGGGAATTTCCGTCCATATTCGATGCCCCAATTTTAGTGTTTTCTGGTGTCGAAGGTAATTATCTAATGGTCTCGCAAAACACGACTAAACAGGTTGGACTTAACTTCTCTAGATTGCTTTATTAGCCTTCGGAAGCCATTCTGATTTTTTTTATGCTTATAATCTAAAAGGATAGCCCTAGGGGCCTCACCGTCGTGTTCCGTGATTTGTTGAATCGCTGACGGCAGTCGTGCAAGTTGAAGTTCTGAAAGATAACTAAAGGCAGTCACGTACATGTCACCTGCTAACTATAGATCATTCGAAAACAAAAATACTCTTCAAAACTGAAAAGTGGATGTTTCTGAAAACGAAAATTTATCGTTACGACTCGGTGTGATGAAATTTGAAAACGAAATACAGCAGAGCCCAACGCACTTCTGGAAAACGTGCTAGGAACTAATTGGCCCCCTCCAGTTACAAAGAAAAAAAAAAAACAACAATATTTATCCGCTAAAAGACGAAACCTTGAAGAACTTTGCGGTATGCTCAGTGATGGCTATTGTTTTACTTCAAGAGAACATGAACTGCTCGTAGTCTCTCATTAACTGATTTGTAATTTGTTTTCGCCTTCCTTTGCTAATTTCTTCGTCGTTGTGTCTTATCTGCTTCCGGTTCATCACCGGAAGTAGGAAGGTCATTACCCACAAATCTCAACGCGAAGCATCTGTCTCGTGAAAAACAAAAAACACAAGAGTTCAAGCAACAGCTCTGCGGAGGCTGTGTCGTCGAACCTCGAGAACATCAGCAAAATTAATGTGCTCTAACCACACCAACCATACAGCTTATAACCATACACACGCTAGGGTTAATTCTAGAAGCAGGTTTGAGGTAAGATTGTGAGAATTTTCGTCAAATCCTTGAGATTGTTCGGCGATGTACTCAAACAATAGTCATTTAATTTCCGTTTCTCGGTGCAACAGAAATTTATTTTTGATACTTGCATCTAGCTGAAGTTAGCTTCAGCCGCTTATTTCAAATTGACTTTATCCCTCAATTTCGATATGTTTTTCAGATGCTGGTTCCTTCTCGAATATCTTTCCTCTCTTGTATTTCCTTTGCCATCGAAAGCTCGTCCTCAATTTGGCCATCTAATGTTTTGTTTCGCCTTGTTTTGTTATGTAGACAAGGCAGTCGCTTCGGATGCAGTGGATGGAATAAAAATATTTAAGGAAACATTCTTTCTCGGTTGTACATACGCTTCATGTGCCGTCGTTAAGAGGAGAAAGCACCTTGAATGTTGTCCGCCGATTATAGCGACATTTCGTGGTTGCAGTTCATATTTCTCTAGCGTTCCTTGCAATGAAATTATCTTTATTGACCAAGAAAAAACGTGCGGCTTTAAACCTCAGAATGGACGTATTTTTCACATAACATTTTCATCCTGGAAGAAACTATATCTCTAAATTTTAAATCGGTCAATTGTGATCGGCAGGAGCTTAACACTTGGTAGATTATACCAAATCTGACTGCAAGGTTTTGCTAAAATTTCACACGTCTCCGATCGAATGCGATATTTTTACTTCCATTGTGTTCAGCGTGAATGAAACTGTTATCTTATTATACATACACAGAAAAAAACTGTCCTTTTGGAGCTTTAAGTTAGAAACAAGACATTTGTTGTGGAAATATGTTAAAAAAGAGACGTAATTGTCGGTTTCAAGGTTAAATGAAATTCCCTCTACCATGTAAATAAATCCGTCTCTCTCCACTGCTGTGCTAAAACCTTGCACAAAGCTTATAAATATTTTCAATGCCAGTTGGACACGAACGCTTTTCCTGTTAAAAACCCAGCGTGATCGTGAGATAACTGTTCGACATGGACAGTTTAAAATTAATGGTTCTCATATACCAATACGTTAAGTTTGTATGAGCCACATAGATATTGCCCCGAACGAAATTATAGCTTGTCGTGGTCGTACCCACGAAATTCAGAGCTGTCATTTAATTCTGTAATGGCGGCATGTTTTGACAGCTCGCAGACAAATGACCGATTAATATTTCGAATCTCATTCTAATTTCAGCTTTACAATTTTAACACAAATGAAGATCAAGCCTTAATAAACAAGAAACTACCCAAAGAACTTATTTTAAGGTAAATTCAAGGGGTGATCTCAGTGCACTGTTGCTGTTAAGTGTGTTCTGTTTGTACGTCTCTAAGTATTCAGGTAAATGGGGGTCATTATGCCTGCAGAAAATTTTTGCCTTGCCCTAAGTAAGAATATTTTGATATTGATAGGTCTTGAAGAAAGATAAAGTTTATTTCACTGTTCATCATAATGATGCTCTTCAAAATTTGCATGCTAATGTACTTAATAGGATATTTGTTTCATGTAGAGAGAATGAAAACATTTTTTATGGGACAAGAACCACTAGCACCAATTAGCCTGGCAAATACTTGGAAGTTTTTACAGTACTTACCTCAATGATCTCAAGTGACATCTTTATCACAAAGAAGCAAGCTTTTTTGCTTTTACTTAGATGCAGCTGGAGAGAAAAATAATATTACAGCTGTATGAATTAATTTTAACTTTGCATTTTATCAACTAATGGACTAACTTATTGATGAATGATTGTTTAATAAGTTAAGTACAAACTGATGAAGTCCAATGTTTGCTTTACCCAATGCACTTAAATGCTATAAAAAAAACGTGTCAGGGATTTTGAATCATTCATTTTTAATGGTTATTTTTTATGTTATAGTTATTCTAGGTGCTTAGTTAATGAATTTATTTACGTGTATGAATTGTTGGTTTATGAAAAGGAAAGATAGGTATACTTCCATTTTATATGATACCCAAAAGGGAAAGATAAACCTTTTTTATATTAATGTTCATTTCTGGTGCATATAGCTCTGTAAATAGACTTGTTTAAAAACATGTTTAACCATAAGTGTAAGTTTTTCTCATTATTTTTTTTTTTCCCCCCTAAGGATTTTTTCATTTCTAGATGTAGTTTCCCTGTGTCGCTGTGCGCAGGTTTCAAAGGTGAGAAACTATGTTGCTTCCAAAGCTGCATTCTTTTGTATTACTAGGTGTGTTTTTACTGAAACAAGGGCCATGAAGATAATGGACAATAAAGACCAATCTTAGGGAAGAACTGAAAGAAAGAGTTGATCCCAGATTTTCAAATGCAGCAAATAAATGCCAGCTTCACAAATCAAGCTGTTGATATTTTGATTATCTGGTATGCTTTTCAGTTAAAACAAGTAGTGAAAATTGAAAAACCACATGTACATGTTTGTACTGGGTCTACGGCTGATTTAGAAAGATTTAAAACAAAAGCTGTTCAAGAATGTCCTTTATGAAGTTTTTTCAGTAAAGTATATGGTGCAGGGCTTGAAATGGTGCATCTTTAAAGAAAAAAAGGTCCTGAGATGGTATTTTAGCAGTTTTGTATTTGTGCTGCCCCTAAATAGACAAATTATAAAGGGAAAACAGGAACATTTTGGAAAAATACATGCTAAATAAATGTAAATTTCAATGCTTTTAGCTTTGGAATGTGTTGGCTTTGGACGGAAGCAACTGGCAACGGGTGAATTTGTTTGACTTTCAAACAGACATAGAGGTACGAAATTATCAGCATTACCTAACCACTTATTAAAAATAGATATACTACCTAT